ACGTTGAGATGTGAACAAGATTTTCTTTTCATATTTGGTTTATCCACAGTCGTAATTTTGCTTGAAAGAACTTCACATCATCACAGGTAGTTGTGATAATTTTGTCTTTACTTTGAAGTTTCAAATTCAAGTCTTGCAGGTGACCAGTGAAAACTGCAAATGCCAAATCCTGAACCCATTCGTCAGTTTGGAAATGCTCAACAGATTTACCTTTCATGTTCAGAAACAATACTATTTCCTCACACAGTGCAAAAAATCTCTTCAATACTTTATGACAGGAGGGCCAGCGGGCTTCTATGTAGTAGGGAACACAATCAAATTCGTGTCCATTGTCATCCAAAAACATTGAACATTGGCGAGGATTTAAAGAGAGCGACTGAAAGCGGTCTTATGACATGTTGGAACTGTAATTGCTCTGTTTGTAATATTTTTGTGTGAATGATGCACTGAAAATGAGTAAATTTAAAATTAGTCTCATTTTTGCAAGTAGCTTTGCATCAAAACCTTTTCATTTCATGGTTGGTGCGCCATTCGTTGTTAGACTAAATAGCTTTAACAAAAGTAAACAATATCACCTCCTGTTATTTCTCAGAAACATCCTCCCTTGTTGTCGTGTTAAGTTTAAAACAGAGCTCAAGTATCTCAAAATTCCTGTCACAGGCCCTTATGAATATAGCCAACACATGTTACATCAATGGACTCATCGAGAGCTAATGAAAATAATTCAAAATCAATTATTTTGTTCTTTAATTCTTCACGCAAGCTGACTGACATGCCATTTATTCTATTTGCCACAGTGTTCCTAGTTAATGCTATTTCTTTGAATGTTTTCACCTTTTCTGGACAAATTACTTCGGCAGCTCTAATGACACATGCCTTCATAAAATCACATTCACTAAATGGTTTGCTATGGCTTACAATTAAGTTTGACAAAATGTAGCTGGCATTCACTGCAGACTCATTCTTGTTGTTCAGTTTAACAAATACTATTTTTCAATTCAAGTATCTTGTCATCTCTTATTTTCCAGCGAAATAGTTTAACATTATTTTGATAATTTTTGAGGTGGCGTATGCTACGCCGCCAGTCGACTAGTTTGCTTATAATTCCATAATTACAATCCATACACCTGTGTACATGATAGTCAGATAGTCTAGAACTTTTGTATGGAAATGTCCATTTAATATTTGAAGATAGAAAGAAGATCAGAATTTGCAGAATCCAGATAGTCATATTTTAGTCTCACTCATAATACAGGTGGATTTTAGATGTATGCATGTATAGGTGTCATAGGTCACTTTTCAAAGGTGGTAATTGGGCAGTAAGGAATGGGTTGTTAAAGGATCCATGGGTTTGAGCTCTTAGGGGAACTTAGTAGTTAGGGGAACTTAATAGTTCTGAAGTGGGATTCACTGTAGTGGTCAAATGGCTTTTCTTGACAAAGCTGTAAAAGCCCTTGACTCCATGTATTATATATTATGTAAGTTTAAATGTATTCTGTATATATATATAATTTCTATACTAGTTCTATGACATATTCTTTTTGCAGATGGCTAAGACTGATGTAGAACAAGACAGTAAGATAGTATCAGCAGTTGAGCCCCATAAGTGTCTGTATGATGTAGGGCTTCCAGATTACAAAGATGGGCTTTTGAAGGATAACATATGGAAGGACATTGCTAATACCCTGGGCTTACCTGGTGAGTGGTCTTTGGAGGATTTCAGCTCTAATAGCCATGGTGCCTCCATGGAACGGCTAGTTATGTAACTAGATAAGTCAATGACTGGTTGTGAATCATGCCTCCATGGGGTTACCTTGGGTGATTTTTTTTTTAGAAATCTCACTGGGGGTGAGAATGGAACACACACCCTGCAACAAGTCTTTCCCCTTATTATCACGGCCTTCAGCCACTAGAAGATAGAAGTCTTTGCACCACGACCCAATCCAGTAATGGTCACTGGCGTTTGGGGAGGGGGGACACATTTTTTATGAAAATCAGATAATGGTGTGGTGGAGCAATTATTTCTACTGCCCCCTGACTCTTCGCCAGCTCTAATGGATACCTGATATTAGTTGTGTAAAAAGTAAAGGCCATTGGTCGTTGTGCTGGCTATGTGACACCGTCTTTATCTGGTCGCCACAGAAACAGATGACCTTTACATAATCTGCCCCAAAGATAGCAAGGTGTTAGAAGGGAACTTTACATTTGTATCTATATGTGCTACTTATTGATATATGAACCCATTTGTTTACTAAGCTACACCACACTTAAAACTCAAATTCAATGATTTCTGAATATAAAATGTAAGAGGGTTTTGGTACCTGCTATTACCAGGTTGGACCAAAGAAAGGACAGTACACACTCCACAGGTCTTTTCCTTTGGGTGGGGGGAGGCTTATTTTAGTGGAGAAATTACATAATTTTATATAAGTTATATAAGCTATACATTACATTCTTAAATCGATACCCTCCCCCCATGTCAAATCAATCATTATTTATGAGTAAAAATTATAAAATGGAGAGATAACCTGTATTCGACTAATTGTTTATTTTCTACTGCCCCCTTCCCCTTTTCAACAGAAAACATGACTTTTAAAAAATGATAGTCAAATATGGCGACAGCTTTTATATAATTCCCGAGGTTCTAAAATTTTATTCTTAGGCATGAATTTTTTTGCAATTATTTAAAGCCGGACTTTGTTTTATAAAATTTAGAATTCATAAGAAACTTTAGAATATAAATGGTACAAATGAAACGAGTTTTGAGCCCTAATACTTTTATCTAGTCACTTTTTCCCAACCTTTTCTGATTCTTAGATTTTTCTATTCTATAAATAGCTTTTGGCTTACGCTACTCTTTCAATACACTGGATTGTCTTAACTGCTTAAAATACACAAAATTTAAATTATATGCCTAATTCATCCCCCCCCCCCCCCCCTTTGAGATTTGCTAGACTAATTAAAGTTCTGTAAAAAAAAAACAACAAATTTCATTCGGACATATTGAAAAAAATTTTTAGGCTTAACAGTTGACCCTTTTTCTTTTCGGCTTATCACTTTAATTCTTTTTTTTTTCTGTCTTAACAGCTGACATTGTGAAGGCAAGATGGCATAATTTACTATCAGATTATCAAAAGAGTGTGTGGTCAGTAAACAAGATCCAGGTTTTCAACAAGATGGCTTTTCTCAAGCCACACCTCATCCGTGATGGTGGTGACCAGCCTGTGGCCTCTACAGAGAAGAGCTCCTTCAGCGTCAAGTCAGAGGTATTGAGCAGTGATGAGGAGTATGCCGACACCATTGATATAAACCCTTCAGACATGGGTCAAGCCAACATGAGCTTAGCAGATGCCTATAAGAGGTCGAGGTTCCCATTAGTAACTTATGAGGACCACGATGACAAGGCTGATAATGAGGAACTGGACATGAAGGTTGAGGAGGAGGACTCACTCTTGCCGGACGATCCTAACAACTCTGCATCTGTCTCCTCATTCCAAATCCCACCCCTTGAATCATCATGTACCATAAACAAATCAGTCGGCCCTGTGTCCCATAAAAAAAAGGCTGAAAAAAAAAAGCTAACCTCTGACATTAGTGGGGTAGATCCTGACCTAGAATATTTTAAAGGTTTCCTGTCGTTGGTGAAAGAACTGTCATCTAAAAGGAAACGACAGCTGTTTGCCACTTTTGCACAAGAGCTCTTCAGACATCTAGATGAGCAAGAGAAAGAGGAAACAGACTCCACAGATATATGAGACTTGTAAGTAAGTTACATGTTTGTTTTGTTGTACATGTTTTGATTGGTCCTTTAGAATTGAAGATTATTACATCATAACATAAACCTTCTGTATGATGGCAGCAGGCAAAAGTTATGATGTGGGACTACCCAGATGACTTTCCAGTGCTGTTAGGTGTGTGTGTGTGTCTAATATTTAAGCTATATAATAATAATTATTATGTAATATAATATAAGGATGCTACAAGTCAAACACCCACTCACGACCAGGCAGCGATCCACAGGCACCTGTAAATGGGCAATTGTTTGTAGGAACCTGTAATTATTTTCCTCTTTGTAGGCTCCTTTATGTTGGTACTAGTATGCCAGCATCTTATCTAAGTACCTATAGCCCAACTGACACTGCCTGTTATTTTTCCTTACTTTGAGACTAAGTGTTTTTAAAGTTATGTATTTATTTTGCCTTTGTTATGTTGTCTTCTTATGTTTTACCTTTGTCGTAATTTCTTTTTTTAGTTTTATTTTGTTCTCATTCTTCTTCTGCTTTGTCTTAATTTTTAATATTTTTTTTCTTCCTGTTATAATTTCTGTTTTTTTTAAAAATCTTTATTACCTCTGTTATAATCTAATTTACCCCTTTTATTCTCTCTTTGTTATTTTTACATTATATGTCTGTTATAATATTATAATTTTTATGTCTGTAATAATATTATAATTTTATGTCTGTAATAATATTCTAATTTCATGTTTGTTATAATATTCTTATTTTATGCCTGCTATAATGTTCTAATTTTGTTTGTAATAATATTCTAATTTTACGTCTGTTATGTTCACCAGGAATCTGCATCATATTTGTTAAAAAGTGATGAATAAATTCATTTTTTTGTTTGCTTTAATATTTTAAATTATGTAATCTATAAACCTTTATATCAGTATGTATATGTTTTTTGCATTCTATACATTATCTACCTTTTTTTTTTCAGATATTGCATTGAACGAATCTGCACAACATCTGTTGTCTTCCACCTTCCACTTGCTTAAACATTGAAAGTGTAGGATGAATTTGTTGGATTAGTCATCCCAATTATACAGTCCTAATACATATAATACAAAATCCAAACAAATTGAGTCCAAGGAAATAAAATGCTGGCATCAGTGTTACTGCATTACATTTTATGTCCATTGATAATATTCAGAAGCTTCTAGTGATCACCTCGTCTCCAAATAGCAAAGATAGGAGTGATCAACATTCCATTTCTAATACTTGACGGGATATTTTGGTCATAAGGTTGAACTCATGACTACCAAAAAGCCCCCACAGTTTGAATCCTGCTGTAAATACTGTTTCCTTTCCTTTGTAAAATATTCTTAATTCTATACAGATTTAACGGAAAAGCACTCCTGGGAGCAGTTGAAAAAAAAAAGAAAATTTAAGAGTGGATCACTGTGTTGACCACATGACACCTTCATAAACTTTCATTCTTTTTCATTAGGGCCTAGCCTTTCTTTAGTTCCCTTATACATCTTTACTTGTGAAGGGAAAACTTCACTAACTGGGTGTGGGTCTCTGAGAGTATAAGTTTTGGGTTAGGTGGTTAGATAATTCATAGGTCAAAGGTTAGGCTGTACCCACCATAATGTGCATGCTTTATGAGGTATTGATAAATTAATTTTAAAAAATTACTTTACTTGTCTAGTCAACTTAAGAATAAATAATTCACCCCCAAAAAATTAAGAAATCAACAATTTGTTCTTTCTCCCTATCCAACATCCAAGTCAGTTTTAAAAATGTGAAACAATTATAACTTATTAATACTTGTTCATATTCTGTATATACTACTATGTTCATAATAAAATTGAAGTTACTGACATTATGAAATGCCAAGTGTGTGGGTTTTTTGTGTGTGTATGTCTATTGTTGTTTGCTTTTATTCAGATCAAAAAATTATTATGGATAATACTCAATACAGTCTTCCATGTGGTTATGTAGTCCCAGCTGCGACCTACATATTTTGCAACATTCAGCGCATACATAACCATTGTCCTGTGGTAGTCATTTCGGTGGATTTCTTTTGGTCTGAATTGTGTATCCTGCTGACTTGTAGTTGATCTGACCATTATTAGTCCATTATTATTGCTCGAAAAACAAGGTGTAATGAAGAAACTTAAGTATCAAGAAATGTAATGTAAAGACGTGTACTGTAATAACTCCCAAAATCCAAACGTGTTGTTGTTTTTTTTCTCAGTGTCTGTCGACCGAATTCTCGGTAGCAGCAACTCAATATCCGGTATCAGGTTTTTTTCTGCCAACAGTCTCTCCTTCCTCAAGAAGGCCAAGTTGGTTTTTGAGTATGCCATTAAGGATGTGCTGTTGAGCGGCCACTATGTTAAGTTGGAAAGACTGCAACACCATGGAAACTGGTTCAAGAACAAATGACTAATTGACGACAATGAAAAGACAAATCAGAATCAAGAGGAGAGTCATTTACTACTCATGTGCAGTTTGTTTTGTTGTTTCCCTTGCAGTCGTTATTTTAAGATCCGCCAAAAAGTCAAAGATCTCAAAGTTGAGACTTAAATCTCGAATGGATTCGTATTTTTCAGTAGATTGTGTCTCACACAAATAAGGTAAATTTAGCCCCAACGCTATCGCCAAGGACATTTACGGAAACAGAATACTAGCCATCAGGGGCAGCCTTGGCCGAGTATTTTATCCATGTCTAGACTGCACAATGACATTAGACAAATGCAGTGCGTCTCTCTGAACCACAGGAACTATACCAAAGAAGTCAAACACTATCGCTATCAACACAACGAGCACTCAAAAACATCTGCTCAGTGCCTGAGATATCTACAATTTCTTCACCAAAAATACCCAGCAAATGCAGTTAATTCATGATGTATTTTTTGGTTTCTTGCTGCCACCAGTGCTCCGTTGATCCAAATCAACGTATTGACTTGAACGTTGGCATGTGAAGAACTTTCTTGTGTCTCTTCTTTTGTAAACTGGTGGACGTGTTTCACTTGCTATTTTATCTAGCGCTGACAGACCGCACGACGTTAATACATTTACACTCTTTACTTTTGTTCAATGAAACTAGAACATTTATCATAACGAAAGATACTTGGCAAGGATTTCTCCTCCAAGGCAAAAAAATATAATATTCTAGACCTGAACTAAATATTTTAAAAAGTAATTGTGGCATTTTACGTCTCGAGACGATTTTTTTCCTTTTGCAACTTCTTATGTGACTAATGAGGCCAATCCTTTGTACTTTCACCCTTCTTTCTACAAATGTTGTGTATGGCATCCAAGACATTTCCTTTAATGCTCGCTCTTCATATGGATATATTCAGTGCCACTTTTTTTCCAAGCTGTTAGTGTCCATTTTGAACAGCTTTAGCTTTATGCGTTTGCATACATCAGTATACCTTAGCAGTGGACGACTAGCGGATCTCCTGCCTTCTGTTAAATCACTAACCTAACCCTAACCCCAATCATATTTTATAAAAGGGTGCATAACTTGAAAAAAACTGTCACTGGTCATCCAACCAGTAGGATAGGCAAGTCCAAGAGAGTCTTCTGGCGATCCAATCAACATGAAGTTTTTAAATTGCTTTCTTGAAAAAAAAAAAAAACATGTAGCAAAGAATTGCTGATGGCTAAAACAATGCAGCACATTGTCACAAGCTAGCAACCTTCTCTTGAGGTAAATTGACATATTTGCTTGATTCCACGACGTGCAATTATTTTAGGAATTTTTTTGCACAGTCATCACACGAGTTTCATCTTAATTGAAGATCTGCTCACCTCTTATATTAAGTTTTTTTGGAAGATTCTTCTAACAAAGTCAAAAATGTGTTAACATTAAATTTGTTGAAAACTGTCGCCCGTGTCAGTGATGTAACTTCTGGTTGTCTGATTGAAAGTTCTGGATGGTGTCTCATAAATCCAAATAAAAACCACTCTCCTCCAGCCATTGAATAGGTGGTCTATAACGCAGGGCATTTTATATTATTTACTATAGCCATTTTAAGGGCAAGAACACGAACATTTGTGTTTGTAAGGCCATAAAACATATTTGAGCATCTAGCCAGGTGCCAAAGAATTTTCCTGTTCTGCAGTAAATATCAGGCTGTATTGATAGTTAGGACACAGACTAGTTTGGTTAACTTTAATCTTTTTTGATATTGTTAATCAATGTTGATCGGGCAATGTTAAATTCTTTTGCCAACTTGTCGAACTGTCATGCCCTACTCAACAGCAGTTACAGCACCTCTCATGACTGACTCTTGCACTTTGCCTTTGTCAGTTTTCCTTTTATAAACTCGAGGCATGTTTCGGATGTTGCTTCAGTGAGTTGAAGATAATAAGTTCCAATTCCAAACCTCCCGCAGGAACCCGGGACTATCGATAAGTCCGAACGACAGTCCAGCGCGAAAACCACACGACCAGGCAGCCATCCAATTTTTCCAGTAGGTCTTGTTCAATAGACGAAACCGCCAAATCAGTGAGTCGTAAATTCGACATCGTTGATCGAAAGTGTTTTTTTTTTTCATCAAAGTAAGTTTGGAACAACTTTCGCGTGTTCGCTACACTTACAACAACAGTAGATAGGCCTAGGCCTAAACGTACGATGTCTAAGACTCTCTACAGATAATATCTCCACATTTTCTCCTCTTGCTTATTTAAATCTCGAGCCTTGTTGTCATTAGTGTTGCTAGTCACAGACAAACTTCAGGTTCCCTCCAAGCAAGTGATGTTTGACTGAGAGGCTAAAACCACTTGGCTACGCCTTTACCACATTACAAGGGGACTTGAGTTCAAATCCCGACTCTAGCATTGTTGTGTTTTCTGAGTGGTTGGAAAATCTTCTCCCAGATACCCCTCCCTCCACTGGTCCACTATATAGATTGGACCATTACTAATTAGTAATTAAAAAAACCCACTATCATAAACTTGTTCATAACCAGTGCATTGAACAATGAAGTTACAATATGCAAGGCTTAAAAAAAAAACAAGGTTACAAAGACAGTTTGTGTGGAAACACAAACTCAAAATCGGCCCCCGAAGTGGTCCACCCAGGAAGGCTTCAATATTTTCAGAAAGTACATCCAAACGAAACTATATCAAAGACAAATGAGAGATAAGAATGGAGAAAGAAGGTTGACAGATCTTGTATAGTGCTCCAACGGTCCAGCAGATCAAAGGATAGGTGCAAGTCAGGGGCGGACTGGGTATCAAAATCGGCCCGGGCATTACAATATAAACCGGCCCACAATGGTATGTCATATCTTGTGCCTTGGGCTTAGCCAGGATTTTTTGGTGGGGGGATTTGGTCGCGACCAGACCGGCCCATTCGTTGCCGGCCCACCGGGCATTTGCCCGTTTGCCCATATAGCCAGTCCGCCCCTAGTGCAAGTGAATGCAAAGTTAGATGTGAACCTGGCCTAACTAGTTCCCCTTTCAGACCTTGTGGTCTATAGGGCAGATGATGTAAAGTTTATCTGTTTTTGTGGCCTACGGTTAACGAGGGTGTCATGTAGCCAGCACAACGACCAACCGCCTTTACTTTTCCCCAACTAATGTCAGGTACCCATTAGAGCTGGGTGGTCTCAGAGGCGCCCAAAGATTCCGAAGTTGAAAATCCCAGTCTTCACCAGGATTCGAACCCGGGACCGCCGGTTCGGAACCCAAGCGTTTACTGCTCAGCTACCAAGCCTCCCCTGGCCTAACTGAAGTGTTATAATTGATGTAATTGATTTGAAAAGGCTCAATCTCTTATTCGAATCCTTTTTTTTTTCTTAGGAAACCTCAGCATTTGTGCTATTCATTTTTAGATTTTTCATCATAAGAATCGTTGGGCTTTAGGCCTCTTTTATTGCCTCTTTTGGGTATTTCATTCACCTCTTTTCTGGGCTTTAGCCTTTTTTGGGCCTCCTTTTTTTTAAATAAAATTTTATTCAAAAGAAAAGACATAATATATTATTTTATATCAATAATAATACAAAGAATATTTAATAAAAACAAAATTTTGTGAAGGAATAGTTTCAAAAGCACAATTCATGATTTCCATCATGGACATCGAGTAGACTGCAAGAATCTAGTTTGGTGATGACAGCAAGAGTTAGAAATTGATGCTAAAGTCAATTTACATACATGTTGAAAGTTTTTACTAAAGTCAAATATTCTCGGCAAGACTACCTTTTTTAAAATGAAAATATAGATGAATGTATCTAGAAAAAATTGGACAACAAGTGGTATATCACAAATGCATATTTTAATACTTTTGGTATGTTTGCGGATTACAACTGCAGCAAGCGTTCTTAGAACAAGGTTAATGTCATAAAACTATAAACTCTCCCTTTCTTAACAATTTCCTATTGTCTCCCTTGAGTCCGGGGACACTATTTCCTTATCGCCAAGGTGACAATCATGTCTGAAAGTCAGAATTTGGGGAGTTCCGCTTCCGACAATTTCTCTTGATTGACTTTAAGTGTTAGGCACCTAGTTTATAGTATTAGTTATTTAGCGACGCACCATAGAAGACGTATATTGAACGGGACTAGTGACGCTTGGGATACGTTGGGTTAGAGACTGAAAATCAGTTAGCGATAGAATTCTCTAGGGTAAAGACGTGTTTTATTTGACAGAGACTTTTACTGTGGTCTTTTCTTGGAATAAGTATCTTATGAATTGTTCATCACTGT